TCTTCCCATGCAGCTTTCATGGTACAAGAGGAATGGGCGTTCTCTCCATTGTTAGCATTATTGTACGTTGGTGATGAACAGGGCCATTTCTAAGCGGTGTTTTCAAGGACTAAGGCAGATGCCCACTATGGGTAAAAATAGACCTAGTGGGCAGAAATAGACCTGAGTGTTCACACTTAAAATGTTGGATATCTGTCACTAGCACATAATCACTACTAATCCCAGAAGAATTACCCCATGCTACCGTGCAACTGTTAGCTCAGAAAACAGAAATAGAGCATGTAAGGTTTGAACAGGGGCAGGACCGAACCTGGCCCAATCCATCCCAGCTCCTATTTTCAGCTGGGTAACCCGAAGTCCAGAGAAGTGACTAGCTCGTCTGTGTCAGAGTCAGATTTCACACACTCACACTCACGCTGAAGCAGGGCTCACATCCTCAGCAACCACACGATGGGTGTCCTCTCTGGATATGCTCAGGAGTCAACCCAAGTCAGCCATTTAACTAGCTAATGCTCAAATTGAGGTTTTCTTTCAGTTTATTCATGTTTGAAGGAGAATTCCTATAATAGAGGGCGACATGAAAGAGCAAACATTATTTCATAGAACAATATAATAGTTAAAAATAGGCATGTCCAGTTTTTAAAAAGAAGAGCCCATATGAACATATGTGAAAAGATACTCAAAACTTATTTTTTGTTAATCCTCACCAGAGGATATATTTCCATTGATTTTTTTATTTTAGATAGAGTGGGAGGGAGAGGGAGGGAGAGAGAGAAGCATTGATGTGAGAGAGACACATTGATTGCTTGCCTCCCACACGATCCCGACCAGGGCGGGGTATCGAACCTGCCACCCAAGTACATGTCCTTGACTGGGAATCGAACCTGAAATCCTTCAGGGACCGACGTTCTAACCACTGAGCAAAACTGGCCAGGGCTCAAAACAGTTTTAAGTGAAAAAAATGTTTTTTTCACTTAAATTTACTACATTTTTTTCACTAAAAAATTCAATAGAATATCCATAACACAATCCATAAAGGGGTGTGTGTGTGTGTGTGTGTGTGTGTGTGTACATACTTATACATAGTGCATGGAAAAAGTCTGCAATGATATGCACCAAATTGTTAGCAACCCTTGGAAGAAGGGAATGAGATTGAGAAAACCATAATATGTAGAAGGTAGAAGGACACTTTTATTTTTTTAGCCTACCTACTTCATCAGTGTTCATGTGTTTTACAGCAATAATTTTTATAATGTTACTTAAATAATTATAAACTTGTTTAATGTATTTCAATATATTAGCTATGTCTATCAGCCTCCAAAGCATCCCCAAAGCTTAAAGCTTTTGCAAATTTATTACAATGAAGGGAAACATTTGGCATGTGAAATTATTTAATGTGCCTGTGTTCTCAGACCAAGGCAGACTGTAGTAAAAGTACAACTCTGCTAGGGGCTGATAATAATATACAAATCTTGATTATTAGTGGTGTCAATAAATACAAATACTCTCCAATAATATTGATTAAACTTCTAAAGCATTTTATGAACAGCAGATAAAAATAGAAATACATCAGTATATTGTGGTTTTTTTTATGAAGGCACATAAAACACCTTCTTCGATTTGTGCAGATAAATTCTATTATTTTAAGAATTAATCATAGAATCATGCTTTACACTCAGGAAATTCCATCAGAAATTACTTTTAATTCATGGCAACTTTACTCCCCAAACCCCATGGTTAGTAAAATCACCAGCAGCAAAATAAAAATCAAACTATATTAACCCCTCTTAGCAAAATGTATCTTCTAATTGTACTTTTACTTTTCCCCAGGAAATGGTAAATTATGTTACATTAAGACTTGTTTATTGGGTAGTCCCTATATTTGAAAGTCAGTTTTAAAGTTCTTACATTTTAGTCCTGTTTTTCCTGTAAAGCAGTAGTGAAAGATCCAAACCACTGTGTTGCTTATGTAGGAAAATCATCAGAGACACCACTGAACCTCTGCTTGCCCTAATAATGACTAGGTAGCCGTCATTTTTAAAAACAATGTCACAAAAGCTATTTCGATGCTGTCATGCTTAAGAATAATTAGTTTCCATCAAAGCAACAGATTATCTGTTCATGTTGTCCACTGGGTCATTACAATGAACAACCAATACAGATAAATGATATCTAATCTTTTCTGCTCTTCTATTGGGCTGATGGATGGTTATAACATCTCCAATATTATAAGGCAGAAAAATTATGCTGACATTTAGAAGCAAAAGCACAGAAAGATAAAACTAAGTACAAAGCATGCCCAACACTATTGGGGAAGAAAGAAATATCTAAAGACAAATAGAACTGGAAACAGAATGGCAATTAGGCCAAAGGAGAATTATGGGAGAGAATGCCTATACCTTGTGGGTGGCAGGCAGCTCAATTAATTATATAACAAGAAGGGGGAACCCGAACATTTCTGTAAGACACATTATTAAAAGGAATATTGACTTAAGCATCTTTTAAATTTTATGCCCTAAAAGAAGACAAAAGGGTTTCCCAAGTATTGATCTGCTCCTGAATCAGGTTGACTTTAAGGGATCATATAATGAGAAATGGTTGAGCAGCAAATGAGACTAAGAAGGAAACGCAATTACTTACAACTCACATTTATGAGGGTCAATAGATTACAGCTCTTCCACGTCGCTTTGGGTTCATGTTGTGTTTGTCAGATAGAGTTGGTAAAGAACTGCTCAGCTTGCCCTAAATATGAAACAGCGATTGGGGACTGTACCTTTGGTTCACTTCATTAGCACTTGTCATTTATAGAGAAACTGTAAAATGAGGATGGCTTAGACTAAGAATCAAGACAAAAGCCATCTTGAGGTGATTTTTTCAAAGATTTAGAAAATATACAGTGTTATAGCTGTTTTTGCCTTAGAGAGTGTCAATTTCACCCTCTACTTGAGCAGAAATAAGGGAACCTTTTCAGCTCAGTGAATGTTACTATGATAAGCCCCGACTTAGAAAATTCTGCTCAGTGTTATCATCTGATCATTGGAGTTTTGCAGGAGTTCATTATAGTCTTTACATTAAAAAATAAATAAAAACAAACGCCCTGGTCGGTTTGACTCAGCGGTTAGAGCGTCGGCCTGCAGTCCAGAGAGACCCAGGTTCGGTTCCCGCTAAGGGCATGTACCTCGTTTGCAGTTTGTCCCCGGCCCTGGTTGGGTCCTGTGGGTGGCAACCACTCGATGTGTCCCTTTCACATTGATGTTTCTCTCTCTCTCTCTTCCTCTTTCTCCCTCCCACTCTATCTGAACAAAAAAAAAAGGAAAAAATGTCCTCGTGTGAGGATAAAAAAACAAAAACCAACAAACAAACAACAACAAAACAAAACTGTGCTCTCTCTAAGTGCAATGAGCAATTCTGTATTGGACCCAGGAACAGAAAAAGGAGATTTGTGAAAAACACTGAGAAAATACAAATAAAGTCTGCAATTTAGTTAATAGCATTGCATTAGCCAATGCTAAGATCTTAGTTTTTAGAAATGTACCATAGTCATGGAAGATGTTCACGTTAGAGGAAGTTGAGAGAAAGCTATATAGGAATGTTCTGCACCATCTTTGTAACTCTTTTATAAATCTAAAAATATTTCAAATTATAAAGCAACTTCATATTTTCATGGCAACAATCCCCCTGTCCCCATCAACTGATGGCTTCTCAGAATCAATGAAATATGGCAGTTAGTAGTAATATATAACATTTTAAAACAATCCCCCTACCAATCCTCCTACCCCATCATGCTTTGGTATCAATAATAAGGAAGGAATACTTGTTAGGCTCACACACAATGGTGTGTGGCCCACTGGCAAGTCTGTATAGCAAGATAGAAGAGTTGTTCTTTTTTAAAAATCCTGAAGTTGCTCAGCTGGTGTGGCTCAGTGGTTGAGCGTCGACCCATGCACCAAGAGGTGACCAGTTCAATTCCTAGTCAGGGTACATGCTCAGGTTGTGGGCCAAATCCCCAGTGGGGGGCATGCAGGAGGCAGCCAATTGATGTTCTCTCTCATGAGTGTTTCTATCTCTCCCTCTCCCTTCCTCTCTCTCTCTAAAATCAATAAATAAAATAAAATAAAATAATCATAAAGTTGAATGTTCTTCCTTAACAGACACACATACAAACATGAGAAGAAAAGGAAAAAGAATGAAATAACAGGTATGCTTTTCTCTAAGCAAGTGTTCTCAACTGGGGGTGATTTTGCCCCATCCCACCTGGGGACCTTTGACAATGTCTACACATACTTTTGGTTGTCACAACTGAGAAGTACCACTAGCATCTGGTGCCTAGAGTCCAGGGGTAATGCTAACCAAATATCCCACAATGTGCAGCAAAGCACAACGAATTATCCTGCCCAAAATGTCAGTCGTGCAGAGGTTGAGAAACTCTGCTTTAAGCAATTAAAACTCAAAAGCTAAATGGACAAAAAGAAATCAGACAAAAGACAAGCTGTGCACGGTCCTCCCTTTGGAATACAGTAAAGACGGGAGAGGTTCTAATAAGGAAGGAGTAGCCGGAGTGCCACCCAGGTACCTTAACCACAGCACAGCTTCTCCAACCAGGATAGGCCACCGACAGCTTCTCTCTTCCTTCAATGCCTACCTCTCTTCTTGGGGCGTATCCAAATCTACTCTCCGTACTCAGCAACTTAGCTTGAGTCTGACCTTGGGAGCCCTTCATAACCTCACTGCCTTAAGATTCACTGATGTCTCCACTGGTTTCCCCATTTTCTAAATTAGAACTTCTCTTAAGGATTATGTTTGATAAAGCTTATAACCTAGTCCCCCCTTTACCTGGTCCATGGTAAATATTGTTTTAAAATGTTACATATCGGGGTCTGAAACCTAGGTTCCAGGCCAGCCGCAGATTTGAACTAAGACAGGCGTTCTGAGCGCCCTCAGAGCAAACCCCTGCCGCTGTCCGGGCTGTCGCCCTCCAAAAAAAATAAAGTCATGGGATCATGTCAAATATGGAGAAATACCTATTTAACTTAAAGTTTGCTGCAAAGGAGCGTAATAGGAATGCCAAGAAATGTGATAATGAAGAAAAGGCTGAAAAGGCCAAGATTAAAAAGGCTATTCAGAAAGGCAATACAGAAGCTGCAAGAATACATGTTGAAAATGCAATCCGCCACAAGAACCAAGCAATTAATTTCTTGAGAATGAGTGCTAGGGCTGATGCTGTGGCAGCCGGCGTTCAGACTGCAGTAACAATGGGCAAGGTAACCAAGTCCATGACAGGTATAGTTAAATCTATGGATGCTACATTGAGGAGTGTGAACCTTGAAAAGATTTCTGCCCTGATGGACAAATTTGAACACCAGTTTGAAACACTGGATGTTCAAACACAACAAAGGGAAGACACAATGAGTAGCACTACAACCCTAACAACCCCACAAGGCCAGGTGGATATGCTGCTTCAAGAAATGGCAGATGAAGCTGGCCTTGATCTCAGTGTGGAATTGCCACAGGGTCAGACAGGATCTGCTGGCACCAGTGTTGCTTCCACGGAACAGGATGAACTATCACAGACTTGCTCGTCTGCGTGATCAAGTGTAATTTAAGGAACAGGTGCTTTTGTTTACTTCACCTGCTTCTGAAAATTTTCATGTGTATATGTAGATAATTTTCACTCCAGTCACATAAAGAACACTATATATTACAGAATGCTTAAATGCTATTTATATATAATGCTTTCTTTTGCCATGCTATATTTTCTAACACTTTAAGAATCCAGAGAGTTTCCACTGTGACATATTTTATAGTTTTGTATATTATGTTGAAAAGTATTCAGGGACACTTCTTTTTATAGATGACTTTGACCAAGCTAGCATTAGCTTGTTGTATATGAAACATTTTCCTCAAAAATACAATCTAGCAACAAAGTACTACAGAAGAAAGTATAGAATAAAGGTTTGGTTTCTTTTTTTAAAAAAAATAAATAAAATAAAATAAAATGTTACATATTACTACTAACTACCATATTTCATTGATTCTGAGACACCATCAGTTGGAAGATGCACCATTATTTTACATATTATTTAAAAATGCTGCCAATTATTAAATGTCATTATCAATTATTATTAGATGTGTCCCAATAATGCAGACATAAAATGAAACATTCTGTTTCAGAAGCAATGATATAATTTTATTCCCTCTTTAGTATTTATTTTCTATATATTTTTACTATTATTACATGGAAACATATCTCCATCAGCAGTTGAAAATCTTCTTAAAGCCCCCTCCCCTTTTTGTATGTCTTTGTTCATTCTCAGCACCAAAATCAATATCCATAGCACCAGATCACTACTGGAAAAATAGAAAAAAAGAGAGTAGCACTTTGATTGCCATCTGACAAGCTACATTACACATTCCTACAAGTATTTCATAACCAAAAAAAAAAAAAACACCACCATGAAGTAAGTTGCATTCTTAGTATCCCTATTCAGTAGATGAGGAAAGCAAGGTGATGGATGTGCCCACGGTCACCCAACTGGTGAGTAGCAGGACCTCAGACTGCCTGGTTCTTTGCACTGCAAAGCCCTCCAGCTCCTATGCTCCTCTGCCCTCAGGATCCGTACAAAGAGGTGAGAGCTATAAAGGCGGCTTTAGGATGGGAGGGAATAACAGTATTAGGCTTTCTTGTCACACTGTGCTTGCACTGTAATTTTACAATAAGTATTATCATCTTCAAAAACAGGGACTTGAGCAATAGCAAGCAAAAATCACACCAAAATTGTTTGTTTCCAACTCTAAGCCACTAGGGGGCAAGGATTCATAATCCTCAGCCACAAACCAAGAATGTCTGATAAATAGGCTTTGAGTGTGATCATGCCTTCAGTGGCCCTAAGAGAAATTGTTTCTTTTCAAGTTTGCTCTAATATAACATTTTGTGGCACTCTTTGGATTAAAAGCCGACAAAACTTTAATTTTAAAATCATTGGCAAGAAATCCCATCAATATTAGGAAATATTTTCGTAAAAAGACAGCACAAAAGAATTCCTTCTCCTAAACCCCTCCATATTCAAATATCATAGTTTTCTTTTCATAGAATTGTTCATTTTATATGTTTGTGTACATGGGTTAATTCATATTCTGATTTTCCACAGGATCACCTTTCTATAGCAGCCATTCCAACTATTATATTAATGTCAGTATAATATTTCCTCATACATTTGGTTATTATGTTAACATTTCCATAATGTGAAATATTTAGATAGTTCATGATCTGCATGTTTTAGCTGAGTTTCCTCCCCTATTGAAAATTACACTGTAATAGTTGAGTAGCGGACAGGGAAACTTTTTATTTTTGCGAAATTATTCATTAAGGATTCATCCCTGAGTTTGGGACAATTAAGTCAAACGATGGAAAATCTTTATGACATGATTTCTTGATCGTTCAATAGTATAAAACATTGACCTGTTTCATTGTCCTGAAAAAAGAGGAGGAGTAAAATGTAGAATAAGGAAGGAGATGGGTAGAGTTGGAGGAGGGTATAGCGGGAATAAATGGTGATGGGAAAAAAAATAAAGAGAAAAAAAGAATAATGATAACTAGCACTAACATAACACCTTATACTTCTCAAAGCACCTTCACATGAAATAAAATGTTACAACTAAAAACTGAGAACCTAACTCTCTCAGGAGTTCATCAATAACTGAAGTGTGTTCAAGAAAGAATATTATAAGATAACCAATGATTGTTACATTAAGAGATGAAATAATGTCTGTCGGGGGGAAAGAGGTACCCTTAGATTCTTTAAGTGAAATATTGATCTGATTGATCACAGACGTGCTAAAGACATAATTACATGTGTCATGTAAATGCCACTTAGTTCATAAAGTATTGAACATAACTTTCCTGTTAATGAGGCTGTACACTCGGTCCTCAGAGTGACTCGTTTATTATTTAGTTTCTTTCTGAATGCTGGCTCATCAGCATTCAGTGAAATTGGATGGGTTACCACCACCACCACCACCACCACCACCACTGACCTCCAAAGTTGGGCTCCTGTCCAAAATATGCAATGGAGTTCTCACCAAAAACCAAAACCACACAATTCTTTGAGTCATAAGAAAGCCAATCTGTACTGAAACCCACAAGTTACTATTTCTCTTGACTTGATTTTCGTAATATAACCCAGAACTTAAAATTATCCCAATAGAAGCTTTTTTGTTTTTAAGTAAGATTATAAAATTAACCAAATAAACTTGTGAATCATACATAAATAGGATATTCCTATATCTGTTTGCAGGCAAGAGCTACAAGGTGACACGTGGTGGTGGAAGTGCCACCGAAATAGGATCCACACTGTGGTTTTGCAATCATCCCACAAAGGAAGGATGAACCTCCTCTGTTACTGTCCATGCAACATCCCCCACACCTAAACACCACTTACAGGTTTACAAAGGGCCTCGCTCGTATGCCTCTGTGCCTTTGCAATTCTGCTCTATTACTTAAAATATCTATTTCTGTCAAAACTTGGAAGCAATCAAGATGTCCTTCAGTAGGTGAATGGATAAATAAACTGTGGTTCATCCAGGCAGCTGAATAGTATTCAGTGCTAAAAAAGAGTTCTCAAGCTGTGAACAGAACAGGAGAAAACGTAAATGCATATTACTAAGGAGCCAATCTGGAAAGGCCACCTACTGTATGACTTCAACTATATACGATATTCTGGAAAAGGTGAAACTATGGAGACAGTAAAAGGATTGGTGATTGCCAAGGGCTGGGGTGTAAGGGGGAGAGGGAAGGGATGAATAGGCAGAACACAGAGGATTTTTAGGGCAGTGGAAATACTCTGCATGATGCTATAATGATAGATGCATATTATACATTTGTCCAAACCCATAGAATGCATGTGTAGTTTCATCACTTGTAACAAATGCATCACTCTGGTGGGAGATGTTGACAGAGGGAGAGGTTAATATACAGGGGAGGTATATGGAAAATCTCTGTGCCTTACTCTCAATGTTGCTGTAAACCTAAAACTGCTCTAATAAATAAAATCCACTTTAAACAAACAAATTTTCTTTAAAACCTTACACCTCTCCCCTTCACCTGGCCAACTACTGCCTGTCCTTAAAAATGAGGCTCAGGGCGATCCTGAGCTCTGTTTCATTTGCCCACTTTCTCATGTCCTGACCCCACCCACTGACTTCCAGTGCCTGAGGGCAAAGACTTTGTCTTACTTATCTTTGCACAAGCATACAGCAGAAGTTCCGTAAATGTTGACTGAATAAATGTATAGGAGGAGAAGCCTTTTTCTTTTTCTTTTTTTTTTTTATCCTCACCCGAGGACATTTTTTGATATTTTGTTCAGATAGAGTGGGAGGGAGAGAGAGAGAGAGAAACATCCATGTGAAAGGGACACATCGAGTGGTTGCCACCCACAGGAGCCAACCAGGGCCGGGGACAAACTGCGGCCGGGGACAAACTGCAACCGAGGTACATGCCCTTAGCGGGAACCCAACCTGGGTCTCTCTGGACCTCAGGCCGACGCTCTAACCACTGAGGCAAACCGGCCAGGGCGGAGAAGCCTTTTTCGACAAGCTCAGGTTTTGTGAAGAAAGTACCTTTGTCTTTTATAATAGCCAACATACAGAGGTGCTCTAGAAAAAACACCAAACAGAAAACCTGCCTAAAGCCCGCCCAGCCTCCTACCAAATCCCACATGTCCTGCAGAACTGTTTCAGCCATAATCCAAAGTGTTAAAATCCAAGCATCCTATAACAGGTTTCAAACAAACAAACAAAAAACCTCTATGAATCCTGCTTTCCTGTCAAGCCCCATGGTGATTAGGAGGAAAGGAAATCAAAGCTCTTGTGTAAAACAGGCGAAGAGCGCATTTGCGGGCTCGCTCTGCCTGGTTGCTGCCCACACAGCGCGGAAGCTGTGAAGTACTGGACTGCGGAGAGCGCCTCACCGGGCTCCAGCCACAGAGAGAAAGGAAACTCCCTTGGCTCCGATGTACACAGTCACAAAACAAAACCCGACTTAACAGGCATAAAGGGCATATACATGGAGAAGCGTAAGAACCCGAGAGCCCGGCTGGCAAAGCAGTATCCGCCTAATGCAGGGTTTGAAGTGAGTAATTTGCAGCTAGGAGGTGGTGCTCTCGTGAAAAGCACCAGCTATAGCTTTCCTCCTGCTCCTCCAGATAATAGTTTTTTAAATGCTTCCAATTTGGGGCAGTCTAGCCTACACAGAAGCAAATAATCAGTTTCTGGAAAAGAGCTTTCTGGGTGAGTCTAGATGCCACACAAGTGAGGGGAGAGTTGTATTCAGACAAGCAACAGGGGCTTCATTTCTTGTCACTCTGTTATTTATTATTCCTTCTGCCCAAAACGTCCATTACCTCAGCCCCTCAAAGGACAGCATTGCTGAGAGGAGTTGGGGGCAGAATTAGTGGTCTTCCTTTCACTCTCTAACAGTGGCATCTTTTTTGCAGGTCTTTGCAAGTCTTCAAAGTAATGTAAAGTGTGCAGGGGGCAGCCTGGCACACAGAAGGTATAAATAGCACCTACTATAAGAAAGATGGGATCCCAG